AAATCCTAACATACAATCTATGTAAAAATAGTGTGCTTGCTACGTAAACGCAGCTTTAAGATGCAGTCCCAGCTGCCATGAGTCCATCTCCCCATTCTAACCAGCCAGCTAACCCTCAGCTTCTCCGAATAGGAAGAAGCTATTCCTATTCTGGAGCTGCCCCAAGACACTGGGGCTGAGCAAGGAGTTAAAACTTGCTGCTGGCAAGGAGCATCAATTAACCAGGTACAGATGAACCGATAAGATGGGTACCCTGGTGGGGAAAGTCAGGACAGGTGGAAGACAGAAAGTTCCCGGATCTAGGCTGGAGGTCAGGAAAGGCTTCCGCTGTGAAGCCACACAGTAGATGCCCTATAAGTATGTGCTGAAGAATTGCATGAATTGCCAGCTAAGCAGAGACCTGAAGCATGAAATGGAGAGAGCCATGTTGGCCCAAGATGGGGAAGAATTTCAGGCAGAGGGTATTGCAAAAGGCCAGAGGCTGTTGAGAACGTGGCTGGTTTGGGGAACTGAAGCTGAAACGCTATTGGCTTGGCTGGGTGAGTCGGCTTCCTGGACCTGCTGCTTCCTTGCTGGAATTGCAGATTCAGGCCTTGGAGACCTCCTAGTGCTTACTTCCTACCTTCTAACTGCTGACCAGGGCTGCCAGCATTGGCTCCCCTAGGAGCCTATTACATAGAGATCCTGGCTCTCCCTCCCTGAGGGCAGGCCAGTTACCTGGGGACCCAGAGATCTGCCTGACTGACAAGCCCTGTAAGTCCCTGATGTATTACTCCCAGGCTTGGCAGTCATGGGCTTGATGCAGCCTTACATTGAATGCTCCAGAAACTGGAGGACAAGAGAGGGCAGGAGCTTGCCTTAGACCACTTAGGGTAGCCTGGGCTTCTAACTGTCTGGGCTGAGAGGTTCTTTTGCTAAAGTAATTCCTGCCTATAAGCCTTTTCCACACCCTCTTTTCTTGCTTGGGGGTTTCTGCTCAGATGGGGTGGGGGGTGGGAAGGGGTGCAGCATCCCTGAGCTGAACCAGGAGACTGGTGCCTAGTGATACTATTGTTGCTGTTAGGTGTCCTTGAGTTGATTTTGACTGAAAGCGACCCATGTGACAGAGTGCAAGTGCCCCACAGGGTTTTCTTGCCTATAATCTTTACTGGAGCAGATCACCAGGTCTTTCTCCTTCAGAACTGCTGAGTGGGTTTGAACCTCCAACCTTTTGGTTAGAAACTGAATGCTAAACTGTTGTGCCAGCAGGGCTCCTCTATTGGAACTAAGCGGGACTTAAGGAAGTAGGCTTTCTGATTCCCCCCACACACCCATTCAGGCAGCCACTGGAGGGGGATGGCAGGGGAGAAGGAGGAAGCTTAATTTCTAATTAAGCCCAGTTTCCAATTAAGCCCAGTCTCTTCTGTGCCTCTTCGATACCCATTTAGCACCCCAAGGCGTCCCCAAGGTATTTTAAGCTGCCACCCTGCTGAGGAGGCTGGGACTGCTGCCAGGGTCTGCCAAGTATGATGGGCTTAGGCCTGTGAGGGGCTATAGTCAACCTAGACTTCTCCTCCTCCCTACAGCAGCCTCTGCGTCCTCCAGTTTCCTCAGAGGCCCTGAGGAGCCTTCTGTCCACTACATCAACCTCTGGGACCCTAGATGGGATCCAGACTGTCTTGTATGGGCCTTCCCACCCTCCAGCCCCCCAGCTTCCACTTCCTAATCCAAAGGGCCAAGCTGGGGGACAGGGAGCTGGGTTTGTTGTCGGCTTTAGTAGCAGCCTCCAGACTCAGGAATGTGCTCTCAGAATCCCGCACCAACCGAAGCCTTTGCAGGAAACAGCAATTACCATTTTAGGTTAAGGCAGCTGGGGTTTGTTAACCCCTGCAGCACTGCAGCTCTGGTGGCACAGTCCCAAGGCATTTGACTGCTAACCAGAAGGTTGATGGTTCAAACCCACCAGCCACTCCCCGAAAGGCAGACGAGGCAATCTACTTCTGTAAAGATTTATCGCTTCAGAAACCCAATGAGGGTCGCTATGAGGAACTGACTCGATGACAGTAGGTTTGGTTTGGTTGGGTTTGCAGCCTGGCACCACTGGGGCTCTCGGAGGCCAAGCCCTCCTCTCCCTCCTCTCCTTCCTCCAGGCCGCTCCTCCCAGTAAGCAAATTGCACTTGCCATTCTCTCTTCCCCTTTCCCACCACACACTCAGAGCTCAGAGAAGGGGAGCAATGGGTCCAAGGTCACACAGCCAAGGAGGCAGCCTCCACTCCAGGAGACCCAACCCTACCCCAGTCCTTGCTGCTTCCACCTTCACAATCTCCCCAGGCCACATTCACACATGCAGAGTTTAATTAACTTTATTGATATTCAGAAATTAGGAGAATGACTAAAGGTAATTGCTCATTAAAAATCATTAAACTGACACAGCAGGCACTGGCACCGCGCTGCCCCTCCCACATTGCTTCCCTAGTCCCCCAGTGGCTGGAATTGCCTAGGAGGGGCCCTCAGGTTTGGGAGATGCCAGGTAGCCCATGATGCTTCTCTCACCAGAGACTGATGTGCTGAGACAATTGTGGGGGGCATAGGGGACTGAGCCAGCAGGGTTAAGCCAGACCCAGTTCAATTGTGCCCTGACTTGGAGGCCTCTGCCTCCTGGGCCTCCTGTAGTTTTGGGGCCTTGCACATTGCATTCTGCTGCCTGCCTCTTTTGTCTTTCTACGGTCTGTGTGTGAGCAGAGCCCTGAGAACCCCACTGTGAGGCTTCAAGACTGCGGGATGCATGCCTGGCCTCAAAGGTCCACAGTCTAAGGCGTTCTCGCTGCCTGAGGCTTGCCTTCCTGAGGCTGAAGCTCCCAGAAGCTGGGAGAGAGCTGAGCAGGCCTCGAAGCCCTGCTGGGGAGGTGCACAGCCCTTTCACCTGTCCTTGTCCTGATCTAGCCTTTTGGGGCCTCTTTCTCTCCCTTGGGGAGTGGGTGATCCTTAAGATTGTCCCCAGAAGGTGCACCCCTACCCAACAAATCCTTGGGCAGGTGGCTCTACAGGCACTGAGAAGTCCAAGTCCAAGTGGGTCAGGGTAGGATGCTGGCCAGGGACATACACGCTTGGGGCCACAGAATGGACAAATTACTTTCAACACCCATGCCTCCAGGAGGGCTCCTGTACTCTTGGCCTCAAGACCACACCGGCTTTCATCCTGGAGACCCGCAGTATCATTCCAGCATTGCAAGGAGCTCTCTGGCAGCGGTTGTACCATACACTAGTGGCCTCACACACCAGTCACACCTGCTAACTGCTGAGCCTTCATCTAACATTCAGACCTCCTGAAGTGCAGACACACTCGGATCACTACTCCAGACACACAAGGCTTTGATTATACTCACATTCAGACTCACACACCCACACAGGGGGCATCAGACTACACCCAGCAAACACACACACACACACACACACACACAGGCCTGAGCCCCAGGGGAGCTGTCCAGGCACCCTTGCACAGTTGAGCTGGGAGCAGCCTTTGCCTCCCACCCATCCCTTTGGATGGTTCTTTGGGGGAACTTACCACCCACCTCCCTAACAGAAACACACACTGTGAATTCCCTGTGCTATCCAAGGACCGGGTTGGACAGCCAGGGGTCAGGGTGAGGACACTGGACAGTGTAGGGATAGAAGTAGAGGGCCAGAGAGGCCCAGAGGATAGAAGTAGAGGTCCAGAGAGGATGCAGATTAAAAAAAGAAAAGAAAAAAACCTGCCATCCAGGGTCCCAGCCTGGTCTTGGTTCTACTACCCCGACCTCGGATACTGCCGAGAAGGATCCAGTGAGGAGGTTAGAAACTCTCACCTTCTCCCTACTCCACATCGTGTTAGAAACATATGGCAAGGGACAGCGAATCCCAACTTCCAGCGCTGCCCCATGACCCCACCAACCAACTGGCTGCCGTGAGAGAATATCCGTGCACACGTAGCTTCGCTGAGAGCTTAGTTGAGCTAGTTCAGCGGTGTGGGCAGGTCCGGAGGAGACGCAGAAAGCTTCCTTCCCTCACACTCTCCAACACCCCCCTTTGTTGCCCACTCCAAGGCAAAGCTTCCCTCGACCCAGGACGATGAAGGTGGGGCCAGGTTTCCAAGCAGGGTTCCGGGGTCGCGAGCTGCGAGATTGGTCCTCCCACGACGAATTAAGACCGTGGAGTGGATAGGGGGCGTTAGAATGGCAGGCCGGGAGGGAGGCAGAGCTCGGCATGTGAGGAGATCAGTGGGAAGGTAAGTTGAAGGAAAGGACTTCAAGTAGGACAGAGTTCCCGTCCCGGACCTCGGCGGCCACAGCTTAGGGAAGAACAAGGATCTGGACCCGGCCCCCAGGCCCTCAGACTTTCTCCCTAGAATTGTACCCTAAGTTCTGACCCCCCTGTGGCAACGCCAAGGCGAGGGACGTGAGCGACGTTCCAAACCCCGGTCCGGCCACCATCCCGCCGGGTTCCTCCGCAGTGAGGACGCGAGAGGCCCCTGAACAGGCGTCAAAGTCGAGCGAAGTTTGTCGGGCTGCAGGGAAGGCGGGACCGCGGGCTGCCAGCCGGACTGTCCCGACTCCTCTCCTCGCCTCGCCACCGCACGTACCCGGGCGACCCCCGACGCCTGGAGTGTGGTGAGGTAGCGCGCGGGTGAGCGCGTGAGTGTGTGTGCGGGGAGGGGGTGGCGTGATGAATTGCAGCAGAGAAATCCCATTAGATCTGGGGAGATGATTAAAGGCGAGGTCTCGGCCGGGCGCGAATGGCGGGAGCCGCGGC